ACTATCTAATGACACTTTTGGTAGAAGGCGGAAAATTATATAGGACATAAATAAAGCTAGAAATGTTAATATTAAAGAAGCACATGGCAGCCATCTTGAAAAATGGTGGCCTTTTATGGCTATTTTATGATTTTTGCTGTAACTCGAAAAGTAGTTGAGCTATTTTGTTCATATTTGGTATGTGTATACTATAAGCATGGCACGCTGTCTCATGACACTTTTGGTAGAAGGTGGCCATTTTGAAAAATGGCTGCCATTTTCACTTTATACTTTGTTTGCAATGGGATTTGCTACGCTTTGGCGTTGCTGTTGTCTAGTTGTACATTTTGTATTGAGTATATTACTAGGTGTTACTAGACTTTTGTCATATACAAAAATGAACCTCACAGTATGTGATACTTGGAACTGCTGTAATATACTGCTTCTGCATTTCCCATCTAAAGAGTTAAAATCGAAAGCTCATCCAGACAAGAAAACTAGAGAATATTAAATAAGTTCTGGGTAAAATTTGTTCTTTTGTCCTAGCTTGTTATTAGCAAATTAAGTGACATCATTTAGCTTATGGTATTATTTAAAATGGCAGCCCAGTTAAAAATGAACAATGTTTTTAAAAGGGTAACATTTTTGACATAAAGAAGATTTTCACATCATATTGATATTTTTTAATTGATTAAAGCAACCGTATAAAGACATCAACGGGCTAGTAAGGAATATATCTTTAAGGACTTTGATATATTTTTGTATAAAGGTGTCACATGTAATACTTGAAGAAAAAAAATTTTATGATTTAAAACATTATCAAATATTAATAATAGTTTAAGTTCATTTACTTCAGAGTAATATGTTTTTATTTTCGACGTTTCACCAGTCATCCAACTAGCTTTTTCAAGATTCAAAATGGAAGTCGAAAATAAAAACAATTATTACTCTGAAGTAAATGAACTTCAATTATTATTAATATATCACCAGAGTGATGAATCTACACAGAAATTATCAAATATGTATATATGTATTATGATGAATAAAGTTAGTTGATTTATTTACAATAATTGTGCCCTCTTCCTTGTCATTTCTATGGAGTCTGAGAGTAATGAATGTCTTCATGCACTTATTTTAACAAGAGGGTTGTAGGTGCATCATAAAATTCATTTTCTGCTCGAACTTCAATTTTTGTATTTCGATTTTTTTATTTTTGTATTAAAATAACCTTAAGAGAGGAAAATATACTAAAGATTTCTTGCACAAACAATCCCTATTCAGGAAAGCTCACAAGCACATTTTGTAGCTGTTTGTATCCAAAGTATCATATGACACTCAGACATGTAATTTAATAATTTTCTCCTTAGTAATCTTCGAGTTCATGGCTCCTAGATTATTCTTAACTTGTAAGGTTTTTTTTTAATTTGTTCATGATGTGGCAACCAATTCAAAGTTTGATTCAATTTTCTCCATCTATATGCAAATCTTCAGTCTTATTTCTAATTTTTTTTTACTTTTTCAACAATGTACCAGGTCGTTCAATAAGTTCTCATAATTTTGCTCTCATTTTAAGAGTTTTTTATATTTTTCCATGAAAATTTCACAGACGATGCAGAATGTATCTGTGTAACAACCCTGCAAAAATTAAGTTTTAATTCTAATGGTCGTGAAAATGGCGGTTGTTATAGTAACATGAAAAATGGGTAGGCGGGGCAGATTATTTGACGTCATAGTGGCATATAATTCAGTTCAACATTGTGGAGAGTAACAAGTGTTTTAATGTCATGTAGTCCCATTTATCCCATGAAATAGTATGGGGTAAATGTTTCTATTCCTACTTTAAATGCTCAAAATAATGTCCATTGGATGCGACACACTTTCGATGACGTTCTACCCAATCCTGGAAGATTTTATGGTATTATCATTTTCTTGTAGTTTTGAAAGAACACTAATTGTCATATTTTTTCAAAACATATGTGTTGGAATTCTTTCAATTTTAGCCAATGATTTTGCATTCATCTCTTCATAGATCATATTACTATAAATGCTCATACCTAATATGTAAACATAATATAAAATAAAATAGTACCATGGGTACTGCCCTCACATGGGAAGGTTTCAACATTTCCAATGTTTTACAGTAGGAGCTTAGAATAAATTAACGTTTTTTGCATATTATGAAAGGTTGATAATAATTTTGTAGAAGTACTTAGCTAGCTGAAATCAAAAACAAGGGTATTAGCTTGGATCAATAAATACCATTTTCCAGAATGAATTAAAACAGAGGAATTTCACAACTAAAAGGTAGCTTTAGAAATGATTTTTCTGCAATAAAAGTGGCGGCCATTTTGAAACTTGCAACATATTTTGCCTAAATTTGTAAACAAAGTTTTGATAACCTACAAATTAAGGTATTTGTTCAAGTTCATGAAATAAATGTGAAGATGAAAAAAGCTGAAAACCTGATATTTCTACATTAAAATTGGCAGCCAATTTGAATATTTGCGATATATTTTGCTGAAACTTGTAGACATTGTTGGTAATCTAAAAAAAATTAAAATTTCAAGCAAATTGATGGAATACTTATGGGGTTATGACCAAAAAAGTGTTGAAAACCTGATTTTTACGCCATAAAATGGCCGCCATTTTTAAAACAAGGCGAGCTTTTGAAACGCCACTTACAGAACAATTGACGACCTTGTGTAGACACAATTTAAAATTGAAACCATTCCAATTGTCGTGGAGGATTTTGAATTAGCTGCCAATGTGTTGACAAACAGACAGACGGACAGACAGACAGACAAACTGACGGACAGACAGACAGATGGACGGACGGACAGACAAGTGGGCCATAACAATAGCTCACCATGTGAGCTAAATATGTTAAATACACTAAAATGCAATGAAAATAATAGTTTCCCTGAAGGGGGTTGAACAATATATGGGGGTATAAAGGGTCCCAAACAAGCATCCTTTAAAGAAACAATTTTAAAAACTCCACAGACTAGTTAAAGATACTTCTGCAAATAAATTCACTCATTTCAGCAAACAAAGGGAGCAAAGGAGACCTTGAGCTGAATAACCAAATTATGAAGTTCCAGAACCGTATGGTAGAAAGCCTAATAAATTTTTTATAAGACAGCTGATGTCATGTGACCACTTGGAATGTAGCCAATCCCACAAAAATGAATGGTTTTGATAGTGGGTGTGTTCAATTAACATTGATGTAGCCATTTTTAGTGCAAATAAAAAGAAAGAGAGATTAATATGAAATAAGGAAAAAATTAGAATATATCGTATAGAAACAAAACAGAAGACCATTAAACCAAAACTGGCAAATAAAACCCTTTTTCTTTTACAATATCACATAAAAGCTAATCATCATGAACTTCAGTTTTTGAAAAAGCAAATAAAAATGTCATCAAGTACACTTCAATTCAGACAGTAAGCAAATAAAAAATCAATAATGAATCAGCAGAGAGATTACTGAATGGCACATATGTTACCCTAGAGGACAATAATTTGAACAAGAAAATCATGTATTTCAACGAACTAAAGTACATTGATATAAGCTTTAAAAATACAGGGTAACCGAAAATCAATATAATATATTTTTCAGGTACAAAACTACAATCCATGAATGACAATACAACATCAAAGTAACAAATACATTTATCATCATTTTTGCCAAGAACAATACAAAAATGTACCTTATTTGGGACAAAGATATTTTTTCAATCTTATGTGACAAACTATGGGATTCATATCTGTTTTTCCAATCACATTCTGTTGATTCCAACTTTAGCAAAATTTTGTAGAAATGAAGGCTGAGTTCACTATTGAGGAATTGGCACTATCATGCCATGTACAATTCTAGTGTTAGGTTATGTTTTCAGACTTTGTTCATATTGGTATTACGTTTTTAGGTGCTCATTGTATGTTTCCTGGATCAGTAGGCCTATATTCACTCCTCTTAATTTGGACTGTTACAGATTCATATTTTATCTTTTGTTAGTAATGTGTATGATTATGTGACTTTGATGCCACATGTCAAGACTATTGAGTGTTTGCTTTTTGAGACGTCATCCAACTGAAGCTAACACAGTGTAAGGAGGTGTTCTTGCTTCTAGTCTTGGATTGTCTTGGATGTGTAATCGTACTTGTTCGTCATTTTCGACAAATAACTGAACTTGAGATATGAGATATCATGCCTTTTTGGAGTTTCTTTCTGCAATGCTCATTCAGTCTTAAAGGACAACTGAAATAGTTTTTCTTAACTTGCAGTTACAAAAATGCAGTTTCTTCATTGTAAGCCCAACGTAGAGTTCTTGCGATAGCCATCATAAAAGAAATGTTAGATAACTGTTAACGGTCATAGATAACATTATAATATTAACAGATCAATCAGATTGGCCCCCACATTGGTTCCTTGGTAATCACAACGTCACGGCAACCATAGGATTGTTGTGTAAACAAATAACAAAACATTTTGGCATTACGACGTCATGATTTAATGGACCAAAACAGGCCACGTGGGGACCAGTGAGAGATCATGTGGGGGCCAAACCCAATTCAAATATTGCTTATTAAGCAGCTATAACGATCGTTAGAATGAAATAATTTTCACAATACTGATGAGAAAACATGTCCAAATACATTATCAAAAAATTATATTGATTCCTTTAGGTTAAAAATACCATTTCATATCTGCTTTAAGTCATGATTTTGTTCTGTGTCGTTTTTCTTTTGAATTGGCACATACTTAGATCAGCCATGGCATGATGAATAAAAACAATTATAAATATTCACCCATAGATACTAGATTCCACATCTCGATATAGTATGTTGGAAAAATGATTAAAATTTTGGATGGTTCTGTTTTTGGTAACCCTGTAAGAGTAGAACACAAAGAAGGATCATCACGAGGCAAATTATGAATGGAAGAGCTATATTCTCTCTCGGAGTACAAGCTAATACATTGCTACAATATACTAGAACCAATATAGTAAAACATGTAATGTAATACAAAGGGATCTAATTCAAACTTCAAAAAGATGAATACACACGATCATGAGTATGAAAAGAAAGGAGAGTCTAACAATTTCAAGTATGAATGGAAGGAAAGGGATTTACATACCCCAACTATATATACCACTGAGTATATACAGTCATCGGGTCTTTACTGCCTTTCACATGATTATATTCCAAATATGTAAGTTATTTGTTGTATATCTTCTATGATTTTATATATTATTTTATTATAATTATTAATGTTGATTTATTCAATACCAATTTAAAATCATATTTCTTCTCGATGTTTTGGCAAGTGTAATGAATGAAAAGGATAATAAAATACATTTTTTAAAGTTTATTTTTGTATTCTTTTCCAGAAATGTAGCACATTTTAAAATATTCAGCAACATATTTTTGAACCAATATGTTCATTCATTAGCATTTAGCAATAATAAAAATGGAGTAGCAGTCATGTTTCTAAGTGCATGTACAATTGTACATTAAATAGGAATGGAATTAACGAACATGACTTCACAACTGTTTAATTTAATAGAAGTACAAAATAAATGTTTCTGACGAAATATGATAATAAGGTAATCAATAAATCAATATGGATAATTTTAAGCATTGCTCCATCTATTATTCATAAAAAAATATATTTTACGATAGATGTCGTATATAAAAAGTGACGTCCATGTTGTGAAATCTGTTTCGAGTGAGCTCCCGGTGAAATTTTTACCAAAGTAATTTAAAGAGCATTTGAAGTGTAAGTACAGATTCAAAAGGTATTTTTACACAAAGTAGTTAGTATCAACAATGATGTTTGCATATCTAAAGAAATTCTAAAGCATGTGGAGCAGTCTGAAGCATGCAAACATCAACTCAAAGTTATCGCATTTAGACGCCACGTTTTTAAGTTCAAATAATCTTTTTTCAAGTTGCAATAGAGACTAAACCTACTCAAAAAGAAGTATATGCCCAATTCTACTCTTTAATATTACTTGGTGCAGCTCCTGAAGCCCTCTAGAAATAAACTAAATCAATGAACTCTGTATGCATCCAAAATGGATCATAATACTAGGTGGTCAAAAAATGCCAACCCTGGACTTTCCTCATATTTCTGCCATTTTAGGGAATAACTAGCTGATATTAGGCACATTTTTACCTCATTCAATTAGCTACCAGCCTACCATCTTTCATGATCATCAGACTGATAATCAGAATGTTGCATCACTTTAAACAACATACCCCAGATTACATTGTCTGGTCTAGTCTGATATTCAGATGAAGCCCATTTCTAACTTGATGGATAGGTAAACTCTAAAATGATATATTCTGGGGGAATTGAGCACATGATTAACTAATGGAGAGACCACTTCACACGGACAGATACACAGTCCTGTATGCACTCAGTAGATATGGGATTAAGGGTTGTTTTTCTTTGAAGAAGGGAAATGCAGTAACTGTCAAAACTGAATGCTATAGTGATTCTCAGGAAGTTCTGGAGGGTCTTAGGTAAACTCAGGGGGTGAGAGGCAGGAACAGTAGTTCCAACAAGATGGGCCCATGCTATATATATTTACATCTAATGATGCACTAGTCTGAATGACCAATTCAGTGACCACTTTCAAAGTAGGAGAACAGATAATGAAGGGGGCCCCCATAGCCTGGATATGTCCCTACTTGACTTTTACCTGTGGGGATACGCCAAAGATAGCATGTAGGAGAATAACCTCAGGACAATAGCAGACCTCAAAAGATAGATCCCACATGTCATTCAGGCCATATCTGCTGAGGAATGTAGTTGGGTCATTTACAACTTTTGATGATGTGTGCATTTGCCTACAGCGTAATTGTGGCCATTATGGAGTATGTTGTTCAAAGTGCTGTAACATAGTAAATTATTGGTATATAGAAAATCCAGGGTTGCCATTTTTATCAGCCTGTATTATTCTATTAGGTATTAATTGATTCTCTGTTGATAACACATCTTCTTGGTATTTTGCATATCTTACCAGAATATTAGATAATCCTGTTTTACTCCAAAACTTAAAACTGTTTCTTTTGATCTACTAACATTGTTCTGCATATCTTTCAGATGTCGGGACTGACATCTGAAAATCTAGCGCAGCTCTCAACACGCATTTCTCAGTTAGAAATGCTTCATGGAATCAACAAAGGTTATGGACACATGGCTACTGAAGACCTGTTAGGTAAGACCAATAATTCTTGACTTAAATGTCTATTGAAAATGACTCCACTGACCTAAGTACGTCCTCTAGACATTTAGTCTATTTGAGAAGGGGTGTATCTTCAGAATATATCCTGCTATACTGAATAAACATAAGTAGAATCAATCCAATAGACACATATGTGTAACTTCAAATTTCCTATTCTAAATATGAAACACTGAAGCTGAACTGATATTGAAATGGTGCAAGGGAAAACTTCTTGTTTAGAGGGGGGCAGATAAAAGGCATAGATACTTATCTACCCCACATTAATGTAAAAACCCATATGACTTATAGTAGTAATCATGTGGGGAAAATGTGTAGACTGCTTGAACCTCTCATTCCCTTGTATCACAGTGTGTCCACCCATCAATGCTTACCATTCATCAGGAGAATCAAAATTGTCTGGCCCATACTTTCATGATAATGCATAATAATTATAATGTTAGTCTGATAAATCAATTCATTAAAATATCTGTATTGGTTACAGGTACCATGTCTCCACTGGCTATAGTTCCGTATCTTGAGGACAAATTTGCAAAACTGATTGTGCATGGGGGAGACGAAACTGCCCTAGTGAATCCACCCCCAGATATCTGCTCAGTGAATTATGGTAATGGTCTCTCTATTGTATTGACATTAATTAATATCAAGAGATTTAAAATGTCTTCACATAATTATGACACCTAAATCAAGATTTGTGAAAAATATCCCTGAGTGAAGAATATATTCTCCCATGAGGTGTTTTTCATGGTCTTAATATATCGATTACAGATGTTGTCATTCACCTAAATGATTTGATCCTATGCACAACAATCTGTTTGAAATATAAGATATATTTTTGCGTCCGTACAGGTGAGCTTTGTGACAGAAACCTTCAACGTTTGGCAATTATAATTGACGACCAGCAGGAGAAAGGCTTCCAGGAGAGAGGTTTTTTCGAACTGCATGTCGCGTTTGGTATAACTGCAGAAAGATTGGACGAGGTATGTCCTGAATTAATATTCACCTGCCTTTATACACCCTATGCAGACAGAGCCTGTGGGAAATATTGGGTGCGGAGCAAATGAGCGGAGGGTGCGGAGCTAACGGTTATTTTTGAATTTAAATTTGGGATATTTCTGAAACTAAGCCGTTTTGGGACTTCAAATATACCAAGATATGTGTATTTGACACCAAATATCAATACAATTGTGAAAATAGTAGCGCAATTCATTCTATAGCGACGCAGTGTGCCTTAAACCTTTCCCAGACCTATATATTTTGAAATTATCCTTTTAATACTGAGTCCCCAGCATTCATAAAAAATGGTGTTCAAGGTGCACTATCTATACAAATTATTTTTGCATCTTGGAAGCCAGGCAGTATCTGTGTGATTTTATAAAAATTCGGAAATTTTTTCAGATATGAGCCCCCTCTAAATATTGGGTGCGGAGCAGCTCCATAAACGTAGCTCCGCACCCAATATTTAGAGGGGCTCATATCTGAAGAACATTTCCGAATTTTTATAAAATCACACAGATACTGCCTGGCTTCCAAGATGCAAAAATAATTTGCATGGGTAGTGTATCTTGAACACCATTTTTTATGAATGCTGGGGACGCAGTATTAAAAGGATAGTCTCAAAATATATAGGTCTGGGAAATGTTTAAGGCATACTGCGTCGCTATAAAATGAATTGCACTACTATTTTCACAATTTTATTGATATTTGGTGTCAAATACATATATCTTGGTATATTTGAAGTCCCAAAACGGCTTAGTTTCAGAAATATCCCAATTTTAAATTCAAAAATGACCGTTAGCTCCGCACCCTCCGCTCATTTGCGCCGCACCCAATATTTCCCACAGGCTCTGTCTGCATAGGGTGTTATAGTGACTTTGAAAACTACATGTACATACTTTGTCTGAATGTAACTTTCTTAATATCTACATAATAGGGTACATATGTCATTCACTTAGGTGGCATGGGAATATATACCCTACCACCATTTGTTGGATATAAGGACAACACCCCAAAAACTGCCCATATATTAATACAAATAACAATCTGGAGTTAAAATGCAGATACAAAAGCAACAAGCATCAAACCTCTGTCCCCCCCCCCCTTCTATTTACCTATCCAAAATAGAAGGTGTATATATCATTGATTAGGCAGCATGCAAATGCTTGATGGAGGACTTAATAGTAATGCACTGTGGTATAATGTAACATGTACACCCCCAAAATGCAATCGGATTTTCGAGGCCATTTCGGTGCCAAATTTCAGTGCCGTTTCAGACTGACTAGTCCAATGGCAAATGGTGCCTGAACAGCGCCGAATTTTTTCAATGTGTAATATAATATTAAAAATGATCTATAATCTCTTGTTTCAGGTGTTGTCTTATATGAAGGGTGCCTCTAACCCAGAACTGCTCTGTGCCATACTATGCATCGGACGTGAATTGGTCAAGGGCAATTTTTATAAATTTATTGAGACCCTCACAAAATCTGGGTTCAAAATAGAAGCAGATTGCCTTATCAAAATATGTGGTTAAAAGGGAACTATTATTTATTTAATAACTGTCTGAGCTTTATAACCACATGTATCACATGTCTAGGAATTTTGAAGCATTTTGATTTGGTCAGTTATGGATTGTGTTCAGCCTGTACTCCCGGTAACTATTATAATTTTTGATTTCGCTTTGAAACAATATAATGATGTCATACCGTTGAATTCGTACTTGTTTGTGAAAAAGTATGACAGCATAATGTTTTCCTTAGCTAGGAAGTGATATAACCAGTGACGTCACATTGTTGCTTTTGACTCCGTAGTGATACAGCCCACCGTATCACATGAAAATTAGTCACGTGTCATGTGATACGGAATATACATCATCACAATTGACCAATCAAAATGCTTAGACACTCCTAATCATGTGATAATACATCATATTGTTTCAAGATTCATCAGAGAAGGAGAACAAAAATTTGTGACAGGTCTACTTAATTAACATGATCTCCAGGTTAGGCTATATCAAAGTATCATAAGAAGAAAGGAGGACTTTTAGTATCGCTAATGGTTTTCAAGACATAACCAAATCACCTGAGTATTGAAGTCTTAATTTTACACAGAGACATTAAAGATGTTGTTTATTCATTGTAGAAAACAAAATATCAAATTGTGCAACATATTGTCTTGAAACAAATATTTCTCAACCTATTCATTTTTCTCCTCAAAACTAGTGCTTTTGTGACATCTTGAAAACCATATATATAACTAAAGCCCTCTTATTTATTGATTTTCGGATTTAGAAATCACATTCGCATCAGCAGTTATTATTTATCAAAAATTACATATCATGCCTTCTTTATGTATATCTGTGTCTTCTCATTTTACCCCAATGGTGCAACAACACATTAATTTCCAGCAAAACACATTTTTTATTTCACTTAGAGGTCAGGAAAAAGGTCATTGTGAGGAAATTGATTTCTTGGTTTTCTGGGGTTCAAAGTTGGTTAATACTTAAAAGTTTCAATTCAGTACAACAATGCATCCTGGTACTTTTTTCCTTTGATAGTATATTATATAATTTTTTTAAATCTGAACAATTGTGAAAAAATGTGCAGTACTATTATTGGTATTACTCATATTCTAGTCATCAATTTAGCAGTTATAAGTGGATATCAAAACATAGCCTTTTGTTTTGAAGGGTCATGGGGGAGTTAAGTCAAGAAAAAATCTATTCATTTTGCTGGATGTTGATTTATTTGCGCAAATTCAAAGTCATGAATCTCTTTAGTCATTAATATTTTCAAGTCAGCTTATTTACAAAATTTTAAGTTATCTCAGTCACATACATGTATGTCCATTTGTCAAAAGTTTTTGGACAAATATTAACCACCACTCATCTGAAGTAAACCTCATATCTATTATATGGGTCCGTACTTTTAATATTCTTCTTCTTTTAACTTATTTTAGAGAAATCTGCATTTTTCACCAATTTTCACCATTTTTAAGCCCATCGAAACTGCCATTTTTAAATAACATGTTTTTTAAATTACATCACTTATACAATATGATGTACACTGTTATCTATAAGTAACGAAAAAACATCAATGCATCACTTTCGTATTTTAAAGTGATCACAGATGTTTATACAAACAAAGCAGTATTTTGGCTAACTTTATTCCATTTTTAGTCTACTTGGATGCATTTCAATGTTATAAAGTAAAATAGAACTAGGACCATGACATGTACAAAAATTTCCAAAAAGAGCCTTTATTGTACATATCTCGTGTTACTGTATCTATTTCAGCTCAAGTTAGAATCAGGTTTACATACTTATGGACATGGATATTATTTTTCTGTACATAAAGTATATGAGAAAGGATTTGGTCAACATTTATTTGATTTCTTACCTTATGTTTACATAAAGTACAACTGAAATAGCTTTTCTCAACTTGCAGCTACAAAAATGCGGTCTTCTCCATTGTAAGCCCAACGTAGAGTTCTTGCGATAGCCATTATAAAATAAATGTTAGATAACTGCTAACGGTCATAGATAATGCAATAAAACTAACTGATCAATCAAATTGGCCCTCACGTGATTAGTAACGTCATATACAAAATATAGCTTTGGTTTATTGGTTCCTTAGTAATCACAATGTCACGACAACCATAGGATTGTTGTGTAAACAAATAACAAAACAGTTTGGCATTATGACGTCATGATCTAATTGACCAAAACGGGCCACGTGGGGACCAGTGAGAGATCACGTGGGGGCCAACAACCTCACAACCAATTCGAAAATTGCTTATTAAGCAGCTATAACGATAGAATGAAATAATTTTCACACTACTGATGAGAAAACATGTTTTATATTGTTCATTACATCTTATTTATTCATAATATAACTTTAAGTGTATACTTTAGTCTATCATAAGGAGAAATTATATTGTCTTCCCCACGCAAACGGTTTTGTATAGCAAATGCCGTGGTGGATGTATTCCCTATGCCAAACATGTTTATATGTAGGTTATTTGAGTTTTATACTGTACATGTACAATAAATTGTAACTTGCTATCATGTAGTTCTTTGCAGATATAAATTATTAGTCTTTTATATAATTTGTTTCTTTAAGATGTTAAAGACCAGAAATGATCAAAAAGATAATTGTTCAATATATGTATAGTCTATAGTGTTATTTTTCTGTGGGTAAAATAGATGAGAAAGGATCTGGTCAACATTTTGATTAATGCTTACATTAAAGATATCTTTAGTCAGTATTTTGTACAATTCATTTCTTTAAATTAAATATGTTAAATAGCAGAAATAATCAAAAAGATAATTGTTCAATATGTATATGTGATACATTCCATTTAGGGATGGCATGGAATAGAACAGAACAAGAATAAGTTGTTTCAATTTAAAATGCCAGCTGAATTAAACATTTTCATATTTATTTTTCCATTAGTACTACATTCCATGCCTCCCTGAATCAAATATGAACAAATTCAAAGGGTAATCTCTCGCTGAATCACAAAAATAGTTTTAAAAAATATTTTTAGTATATAAAGAACATTGTATATGTTATGTTATCATTGCTTTATATAATAAAATAAGTAAATTTGTAACCACTTAATTATGTCACTGTTCTTTTTACGTCCAGCCACTCTTCAGTTGTCACTGATACCACTGTTTCATATCTAAAAAGGATCTTGTCGCACTTACAACTATTTTCAGAATCTTTTAGCATTAATGGTCCAAAGTGGGATATAAAAATCTGCCGATTAAGCTGAGATCATTTTACCAATCTGAATCCATGTATTGTAAACAAGACCCTTTCAATAAGATGTTGATATAAGTATGATATGATGGCTGATAAACCTAACTCTCGAAAAAATCAAACATAAAGGGAAATTCTATATGAGACTGTTATTTATTCCTTAAAATACTTGATTATGTCTGACAATACATTGAAGGTTGGTTTTAGTAGCATGTTATCATATGAAATCATTACAATTCTGTATTTAACTCGAGGACTGTAAAGCCTTAACTTTGGCCTTCAGTCTTGGTTTGACAAGGCAACATGCAAAATGTCACCACGTGCCATTTGTTACAAGTGCCAAATACCAAGCACCAACTGTCAAATGCCGCACACAAAACACCAACTGTGGAACACTATCCATAACAAGAACACAAATGTGTACAAAATGTCCCCACCAATGGGTGATCCCATCAAATGGTTATCCCGAAAATGAGTAGACAAGACTTTACTGACACAATTTGAGGAAGGGAAATCCAAAATAGGCACCCAGAATGCCATAAAATTAGTAAGTTCTAGATTTTTATACTAAGAACCACCCCTGAAAATTTGAAATTGATCCGTCAAACAGTTAACCAGAAAACACGTAACAAGACTTTACAGACAAGATTTTAGGATGGAAAATCCAAAATGGCCACCTTGACATTTACCCAGAATGTCAAAAGACTAATCAGTTCTAGATTTTCATACTAAGAATCATCCCTGAAAATTTGAAATTGATCTACCAAACGGTTCACCTGAAAACGCGTAGACAAGACTTTACTGACAAGATTTTAGAACGGAAAATCCAAAATGGCTGCCTTGACATTTACCCAGAATGCCAAAAACTAATGAGATCTAGATTTTCATACTAAGAACCATCCCTGAACATTTTAAATTGATCTACCACACGGTTCACCTGAAAACGCGTAGACAAGACTTTACTGACAAGATTTTAGGACGGAAAATCTAAAATGGCTGCCTTGACATTTACCCAGAATGCCAAAAAATAATCAGATCTAGATTTTCATACTAAGAATCATCCCTGAAAATATGAAATTGATCTACCAAACGGTTCACCTAGAAATGCATAGACAACACTTTACAAACAAGATTTTAAGACAAACAATCCAAAATGGTCACCTTGACATTTATCCAGAATGCATAAAAACTAATCAGATCTAAATTTTCATACAAGAATCATCCCTGAAAATTTGAAATTCATCTACCAAACGGTTCACCTGGAAATGCATAGACAAGACTTTACCGACAAGATTTTAGGACAGAAAATCAAAAATGGCCACCTTGACATTTACCCAGAATGACAAAAAACTAATCAGATCTAGATTTTCATACCAAGAATCATCCCTGAAAATTTGAAATTGATCTACCAAACGGTTCACCTGAAAATGTGTAGACAAGATTTTACAGACAAGATTTTAGGACGGAAAAATCCAAAATGGCCGACAATAAAAAAGTGATTATGAGGTTTTGCTGATTACTTTTTACAAAATTATCACATGTAACTACCATTAACAATAACAGAGGCTTTTACAACAAAGTACACCTGGAATTATTTATAAAGCTACTAAATAGTTAAAGTATGAAAACTCAAAAACACCATTCAATATGATACAAAGTATTATCGCACGCTAACTTTTCTTAAGACATTAAAAATGGCTGCCATGACTGAGCTAACAGGTCCAAAATCTATTCAGATCTAGAATGAAGTGAGCTAAACAAAATGTTAAAGTTTTAAAAGCAACTGTGAAGCATTTTTTCTTAAATTTTGCAGACAAGGATTTTAGGCCGACAGGAAGTAGGTATCGAGTTAAAAAAATTTCATCCACATCTGTATGCACTCATATGTTATCCCTGAAAATTTAAAAGTGATATCTGTAGCAGTTTTGGAGAAAACTGCCGGATGTACGTACGGACGGGACGTCCGGACAGACGGACAGACGGACAAAATGGCCCCACACTATGTGGTGGGGACATAAAAAGGTTGGAAACAATAACAATATGTCACCACTTGTGTTATGTATGTATGTTATGTATAGAACTTGGTGGTCATCATTAAATAAAAGCCCAAGCCAAAACCTGCCGATGAACATTTATGTTATCTGTGTGATATTTTAGAAGATGATGACCATTTTATTGATTTATAAAAAGAATAAAACAGAAAGAAAATTTTTGTTTTACATCCTAAGGCAATTTAATATTGGAGGCGGTCCTCAGTTTTCCGTGAGTTAAAATGCTTTATTCTGCAAGTGAAATTAGTGAATTCTGCAAGGGAAAAGGATCAATTTTGAGGGAATTCTGTGAGAATTTTCGGAGTTTGTTATTGATAATCTTATAATAGGCTAGAGTTATTGACCCGCTATCAAATATGTGAGAAATGAAAGTACTAGATAGTACCAGATCTTTGATTGTTTTCATTGCAAATTCAGTTGAAAATCAAGACGTAATCACAAGGTGTTATACGCACGACTACATGTCTTTATCATAAGTGTTCATCAGACTTTGCGCATGCTCAGGAGAAAATCATCAATCAATCACATTTATAAATCAATTTTCCCATTTTCGTAATACCATATTGACTGAGTACATGTTAACAAATATGGTTTCGCAATAGCCTTGACAAACAGTAAGTATCATGACTGATGGGAATCTCGAAAAGGTAAATTTTCGAGAATGGAAGAAAAAATAAATAACAAACATTTTTGTATACTTTGGTCATTTCTGAGGGTTTTTACATTGAATTCAAAAGTAAAGAGTATTGAATTACTGAGGTAAGGTTTACTAATTCATACTTTCAGAAAATATGTCAACTCCACGAGAAATTCTGGGGAAATTGTTCAAAATTAATGATTCTGCGCTGGAAGGCCAAGTCCATCTGCGTTACATGAAAAGGGAATTTTGGGGGGAGTGTTTTATTATATTTTAATTGAAAAGCTGATGTCCCATCCCATAAAAATTGTTGGTAATTTTTTAACATTTCTAAAGTTCATTTATCATTCATTCAACTGGATTAATATTGCACTTTTGATATATCACACTAATATCTTTATATTCTGTCATTGACACGTATTTTAAATGTTACTTACAGCAGCAACTGGTAGCAGTATCTCTACAAACAAGCCAGCAAGAGCGTGTTTTATGTCCTTGTCCTTAACCTCCAGGAAGTAGGTGGCGCACTCTTGCAGGAATTGAACACAGGCCTCAAAGCTTTCTATTGGGTGCATCTGCAATTCAACAAATCAGATACATAATTCCTTTATTTATTTAGACTATTGGATCTGTTTGATTTCATGTTTGATGTGATAAAATATTTTTTACTTAGTGATGTGCTGCAGTAAACAATGTGAGCTAAATATGAGCCTCAAGACAATTAAACGGGACGTAATAATTTGTTTTTCCACTCATATAACCTAAAACTTGATAGAACAAACAATGTGTATATTGAACACCCTTCAGGAAACAAAAAAACATTTATTTATGCCTTTTACACAGAGCTAAATGCTTTCCTATATCTGACCACTTCAAGGTTTTAAACTCTAGTGCTCGGACCGGTAATGAAAAGTGGTGCCGGTATTACCGTATGTCATTACCGATATTTACCGACTATATAGCAAGTATTTTGAAAAAAGCTAAAAAAAGTTTTCCCCGGGTATATTTCGCCAAAAATCTCATAGTACGCCATACATACCACTTAATTTATCTGTAGAAACAGTAGACCCCACTCAGAATCATTTTAAACCACTAAAGAATCCTGATTCTAATGGTTCATGTGATATAAACTCGTAAAATAAATACGTTTTCGTTCGTTGTATTATCAGCCTCGTTCTGAACTTCAAATCGTGCGATAATAGGTAAAGTGAAACTTCAACGTCAGGAAAATGGTTTAATTCTGTTTATTTTACTTAGCAATGTACAAAATCGGTTTCTATACATAATAGTTTAGTTAATAAGTGAGAAAAGAAACTATAGAGATCATGCTGATGAAGGAATTTGGCTGATTCCGCCCGGGAATCTAATTCAGCTGAATGCCGTCCATTGCCGGTAAGAAGATTTTGATGCCGGCATTAGGTCAAATTAGTGCCGTTGCCGGTAATGCGGTATTACCTCCGACCACTATTTAACTCCCTTATTTTTGATTTATGACAGCCTTTATCCAGATTCTAGATTTTATATCCCCCAGATTTTCTTTCTGATCCATTTTCTCCAGTCAGTTGTAACCCGTTACAATGTATTTCTTTATTTCCAATTTAGGACTTCTTTCCTCTTCTTTCTTGAATACATGATCCTGTACCCTCTCTGCTCACCTTCACTCTGAAGAACTTCATCCCCATCAAGAGGCTGATGATGCTGTGTGTTGTGTATGGTGTCTGGTCTCTGTACCTCAACTCTTTGATCTCAGTCAGGAACCTCTTCCTCACTACATGAAACCTGAATATAGATGCAAAATATTGAGCAATAGTGTTGTCATATCATATTGCAAAATAAAGTATGAGAAAAAAAGTATTGTTCTTTTGTGTATCAATTCGGAAATAAGCAAGCCCCGATATCCAAATCAATGATCTATCTTATAAAGTAACATAATATCAAAAACCTCCTTCACTTCAAAATGTGTGTGATAAGGCCCCTTTTTCATGACCAAGCTCATAAATAATACACCTAGGGATGAATATCGCACATTTTATCAAAAAATTCAAAATGGCACCAAATGATTTACACTCAGAAAAACAGACAGACAGGCACACATATCAGCTCAAGAGGAACAATACTGCACTTTGTGTGATAAAAAGGATGTATTGGTTGATACAGTACCTGGACTGTGCAAGGACGCCAATCACTTCAGCATAGAGGTCAGCTATAATGTTAATATTCACAGCACTTGGACCATTCTGACTCCTGGAGATTCAGAAAATACACATAAACCTAATTATACAATTATTGTTGTTGTCAAAATGTCAACATTGAAGATTGTATATCCTTGCTAAGTATAATCACATTATGGTAGGAAATCTATGATAAAAGTCTTAAATTTGATACATGTTTGTTTGAATACATTACAAAAAGTTTGGCTCTTGGCATTAAGTAATCTGGAGCCTCATTCTAAAAAATCCAAGATGGCCGTCATTTTGTGACTTCTCGAATCGATTTTGTTTCAAATCTATTCAGCTACCATTGTGCCAAATTGTTGTTTATATCATATATACAGGGTGTCCGGAAAGTAAAGATACAAATGGTCTTATTTCAAGAGATTTACCTGTTATGAGATGAAATTGCTCCAGAATGTGATATGACATTATAACAATATATCCTGCAATTGTCATGACTTTAAGTTTCAAAATGAAAAAGTTATGGTTGTTATTGTAACGGGAGTCGAGAGTAAGTGGAGCAACGTCACAACCGTGTTCTACAAATCTCTTTCCTGCTCATATGATCTTGGCACTCCACCATCTATATTCCTATATTATATCAAATTATGTACCACAACAGCATAGGGATTAGTAATGTAACAGTATTTGATCATTTCATATTACTACTTTCATTGAATATCCATTATTTTCCCCATTATCGATACATTATTGGTGCATCTTGACCGGTGATTCAAAGACCTGACAAAACCACTGCTTTAGGCTTTATCAGGTTAATATGGGGGATTGATAGAAAGGTTTAATGTCAAGACACTCCATTGTAAGATTTGTTTTTTGCTTTGTGAATTGGTGCATCGTGGAGATGCAATATTGACTTTCCTACTAATGGCCAAAGACCATTCTTCTAGGCACATGTTCAATATTTCTTTCATTATACTGTTAGTGACATAACATAGTTCTGATATGTGGCAATGACATCATTATATAAAAGAAAACACTATGGCAGCAATAATACAATGATGAACAAAACAAAACATATATAGAAAATACAACAAAAAACACTGTTTCAAATGGTTGTCTCTTAGCAATTTTTCACATTTTAGCGTTGTTCTGGAACTGCTCCGCATACCTCTCACATCAGTAACTATAACAACCGTAACTTGAATACATTTAGACTACATGTGATGAAAGTTGGTAGATATATTGTAATATTGTTCCTCTACAATCTGTAGCAATTTCATTTCAAAAAATCAAAATTTCTTAAAATAAGAGTATTTGTATCTTTACTTTCCGGACACCCTGTATTTCATCTTGCTGTTATTCTACAAAGCTAAGCGAGATTGTACCATTTGATGCTTCTAAATTCTATAGGGACAATATACCATTTGATTCCAATTAACTTATATCGAGAAAAACATATCAAGAAAATAATATATTAAAGCTGCTGAAAAAAAACATTATTCTTTTACAGACAGAAGAGGGGGAACACAAATAATTTGGTTTAAAAGGTTGTATGTGACTGAGTGACACCATGGTCAAAGCTCTAATCAAAAAGTGCAAAATGTTGATTTAATCGATGTTATTATTCCACATACCCTTCCTTGTATTTGAAATGTTTGAATGCCATGACTGTGATGCGGTTGCTAAGGTCCTCATGGCCAGGATGATAGGGCAGCTGCTTCAAAACCTCTATGAGGACGAGACACAGCATGAAGTCTATCCCCAACTGAAATATGACAGTGATAAAAAATTGTAATATCATCTTACTAATGTGTTGATATCAAAAGGGAACTTTTGGATTTTCGAAACAATATAGTACTATGTACATGTTTCATACTCTTATCTTGGGCACAATACATCACCAAGGTTGGAGATAAAAAACAAAAACCTTCAAGAAATCTTATCTTCAAAAATCCAAGAGACAACAGGAGGATTTTAAGATGAATAACTCAAAAGCTTCTTTTTCAATTATAGATAATTGATAAGATCAATTAAAAATCGTTCAAGAGGATATAACTTACATCACGCCTTTCCTGGAGGTAGTCTTTCTCACTGAAACACAAATATTTCAATCCATTTACAACTTTTTGTATAGATACATATACTCGCATATGCAAACAATGTACATGTATTTATGCATATTTAATATATATTACATCAAAGACCAAATACAGCTTATAATACTGTCCTTACTCCATGGACAGTGCTAATGATATGAATATGATACCTCTTTTATTAAACATAAGAAATCAAAAATGTTGAAATAACTCACACTTTATTTTTAGATTTTTTCTGTGGTGATGAGGCCTCCGAAGGGGTCTGGAGCTCATACCATGCAAATAACGTCCTCAATAAAGATGGCAGACAGTGTTCCGCTACACAGCTCAGTGATGTCAATAGCTACAAATATATGATAGACTTAAAACTTGGCTACAGTTTACCCCTACCTTATACAAATATCTTTGACTATTTCAATATTTTCAGTTTGATTTTTCAATGTGAGAAGCCATAGCAGAACTGTAACCTCCAATATAATCTATTGAACTAGATGAAAATAAATCTAACCTGATCAAACTGTGGATCTACCTCTCGTTGAAGGGACTTGGATAGAGGGCGCTCCTAAAATTAACACAATAAATTAGAATTTAAATATATTTCAGAGTTATACTGAATTAGTTTGAAGGCAATTATGTGATTTGACTTTCACATTGTAACTTATGAGGCAATTTTTGAGTCTGTTAAAACCCCTGATATCACTCAACTTTATACAAAACAGGGAAAGCAATGATAATGCTGTATGCAAAAATTATCTTAAAATTGTGAGAACATTTCAAAATGTACCACTCATCAAATCTCTGTCCGTTGTTTCCTTTTTACAACTGAATGGAACTCCAAAAACTGAGCAATTGTTTCAAATGTATCTGAAATATTTCCAAATAAATGTCAAATGAATTGGAATGATAAAAAAACTGTAAATGACAATTAACTTCCCAGAGGCTGAACAAATGAAATATATTTCCCAATTTGAAATTTTGAAAAATCTAATTTTCTTACGAGTGGTTCCGCCATAATTTGTTCCAACTTTTTCTCTGCCAGGACAGTAAATTCAGCAAATAACGTCCTGAGGACAAATTCTCCTGGTTTGGCATAACCGTCAATTGCCACTGATGCTGGAAAGTCTATCTTTTCACGAGTTGCGCCCCATGGAAGCTTTGTCTCTGTCACTTCGGGTAATGCCTCAACAGAAATTTCAGAGATGCTTGTCACCTGTGAAGCTGAAAGATTTTAAAAACGTTAAAATGTCTCCAAAATAACAAAATCCTTTTATTCAGAACATCATGCAAAAATAATGGTAAAAAACTTTGTTGCATATTACTGCATCTTTTTGTCATTTAAAAAGTTTTTACTAAATATGAAGAGATCTTGTATTTTTTGCTTTTTAATCTCACATATATCAGGGGTTTCATAGCGGAAGGCAACAGGCGATTTTCACTGGTTGTTTTCACAAAATTGCCAGTTGTTCTTAGAGACTTTTCAACTTTTCCATGTTAAATTTATGATCTCCATTAATTTTGCCTATTGTTTTCATTTATTTAGCCTGTTGTGAGAATTTCTCGTGAAACCCCTGTATATATTTTACAGTGTCTTTGATGTAGCTTATTTGAATGATACCTGTGAACATAATGGGCTACTTTTCATAGTCAATGATTATACTAGCCTATATGTTTATAATAGCCCAAGTTCTTGATTTCCTGTATCATTTATATATCCTTCTAAATCTAGACTAGTGGTTTAGGTATAAACATACTTATCACTTTAGACTTGAATTTGAAGAAAAACATTATCTAATCCTCCAATATATGAGATGTTTACAAACTCTTGTGGAATACAAAACTATATAATATTGATGCTTCGTTAGATCCTGCTTGTATTGCGAATGTGCACATTTACACATACATTCTACATGTCTTTTAATTGCTATTAAAATCCCATTAACAAAACATTACCAGGTGATACAGGATTAATCATATTTTGACTTTTACATTCAAAGTGGAGATAAATTTCAAACTTCTTATTACTGATTAATTACAGCTTCGCATAAGAGAAAAATGATTTTGACAAAAAACAAAGACTTTCATGAATTAAAAAAAACTATTTTCATTCAAATTTACTTATTGTTATTATCATAATAAATCTGAAGTAACATTACAGCAATTTGAACAAATTCTATACATATGAATACATACGAGGGTTGTCCCAGAAGTAATGAACTATATGCTCTAACTTTATCGTATAGCCAAAAGAAATATTAAGAAATCAATAATAAAATATCCCCACCTTCCGCTCTGATATACCAATTCCAAACACCTGGGAACACATAACGACCATCTCGATTTATTCCTCGAACAACTTTTTTAGTTGTCATTATAAAAGTTCATTTGGTAATATTCCTTAAATCCTTTAGCCTTTTATCATCTGGATATACCATGAGCAAATTGTTTGGAGTAATAATATTATTTTATTTTGAAAATCATTTAAGTATTTTATTTTTATATTTACAAATTGTATAATAAAGTTGGTTTTTTTCCTCAGTAATGAATTTTCAATGTTTGAAAAACATTTATTTTCATCAAATTATTATCAATGTTTACACCATTCTTTATAAAGAATTTACTCTAAACTTAACAGAAAAAGTAGAATCAATCCTGAATCCTATATTGTTTTATTGTGTTGACAATTATTCCTCTCACATATATAGTTCATATGACAACCCTTACAAATAATATAACAGCCCTTATAAATAGTACCATGTTTCTGGCAGGTTATGTACTAACTATCTCTATTTACCACACTTATACCACACAGATATCCAAATATAGAGTAATAACTTATCATAAAGATTTAAAAGCTTATATTTTTATTGATCAAAGAGCAAAATGGGACATTTTCTTAAGAGTTTAGTGAGGAAAATGTGAAAAGGATAACCAGGGTTGAAATAATTTGTAAGGGTTAGGAGTAATAATGTGACAGGTGTCTTTATTACAATTAGCTAATTATTAAATTGTAAACAAATGAACATCTTGAAGGTTTACTACTCTATGGTCAAATTATATCCAATTACTATGCTATAATGGTAAGCATATTTTAATGAGAAAGATACATGGGCGTAGCCTGGGGGTGATATGGGTGCGATCGCAACCCCCTACCCCAACTCCACAAAAAAGAAAAAAAGAAATTTTGTAACATGTAAACATTAACAAATTAAAGTTTTAAATGCTTAGATTTGCACCATATACAATGTAAGATTTAAAAATTTCCATCGTCCAGTACACCCTTTTTTGGATTGCAGTGATGCAAACCCAAAAAATTGCACTCCCCTTGTCAATCGCTGGCACATCCCTCAGATATTTATAAAAACTTTGTATTATTTCAATTTGAATGGAATACATTCCAAATGAAATTGTCAAATTTTTGTTTTATATGTCTCTGATCTAAACAATGCTTTAATACATGTATATTCAACGATTGCAAACTAGAAAAACAGCAAATTTAAGAAAAAACAAGTGTAAACAATTGCATTATTAAACAATTGCATTATTCCAAATGGGCTATTTCAAAAATACAATCATTTCAATATGAGAAAGTTATTTTGGATTCAGATCAAATCTCAAAAATATAATTAGCTTATTTGGAGTTTAGGTAGAATTTCCACAACATGTTTATCACAATCGTGTGCCAGAATCATATGTAAAGAAAATCTAAACTTTTGCGAAACAAATAGTTCAGAAGATAATAGATTCATCTTTATTTTATCAGAATACCTCACTTTTGTTAACTAAATAGAACTGATCTGCCCTTTTTTGGATTGCAGTGATGCAAACCCAAAAAATTGCACTCCCCTTGTCAATCGCTGGCACATCCCTCAGATATTTATAAAAACTTTGTATTATTTCAATTTGAATGGAATACATTCCAAATGAAATTGTCAAATTTTTGTTTTATATGTCTCTGATCTAAACAATGCTTTAATACATGTATATTCAACGATTGCAAACTAGAAAAACAGCAAATTTAAGAAAAAACAAGTGTAAACAATTGCATTATTAAACAATTGCATTATTCCAAATGGGCTATTTCAAAAATACAATCATTTCAATATGAGAAAGTTATTTTGGATTCAGATCAAATCTCAAAAATATAATTAGCTTATTTGGAGTTAAGGTAGAATTTCCACAACATGTTTATCACAATCGTGTGCCAGAATCATATGTAAAGAAAATCTAAACTTTTGCGAAACAAATAGTTCAGAAGATAATAGATTCATCTTTATTTTATCAGAATACCTCACTTTTGTTAACTAAATAGAACTGATCTGCACTTTTAACTGATTTTGTTTGTGTAATTACAGTGAGGTATTATATGAAGTTATTTGTTTTATTACACAAACAAACAGACTGATGCGTAACTTATAAGCCAAGAAATTTAATGTCATAATATTTTTTCACAAAATCATCAACACCATTTCAAAATAACCCCCTGGTAAGGTAGGTTACAGAACAAAAATTTGACATTCCCATCTCCAGGTTAACAACTACCAGGCCCAGGTTCACTTTTTGAAAAATTCCAGGGGGGGTTCACTTTTGACAATTTTGGTTCAAAAATGGCCAAAATCACTTAAAAAGTGCTCAGCATGGTGAAAAGCTGCATGATTTTGAAAGAATTCTTGGCCAGGGGGGGGGGTTCCCCCAAACCCATTGAACCCCCCTGGCTATGGGCCTGACTACACACTAAACTTACATGTATCACTGATGGTACTGAGAGTGTCTGATGCAGGAATACTAGAATGTGTAGGGGTACTAGCAGCACTACTGGAGCAAGTAGACCCTGGTCCAGGTCCAGTCAGGCTCGTAAGATCATCCATCTTAATCCCAAGGTATATGCTTGTATAAAGGGGCTTCAGGTGATCATCTGATTGATTGGATATCGTAGTCTCTTTTCTTGTGTACAGTTAATTTCATGCTAAGGAGTTGCAGAACTTCCAGACTGTAACATAACAAAAAATAATCTGAGATTCAGACATTTTCAGAAAATGAACATGCACAAGGAAGTGTTTTATTAGCAATATTCTGACAATATTAATTAACATGGGTATCATTGATTTCAAGATAATATTGCTTGCAAATTAGAAATCTATTGATGTTGTTTAGGAATTATATTTTTGATTAAATTAAATTAAATTTGGGATTACACATTTAGTACATCTAAAGTCCGATTCATAATTCTATTGAGTACTTTGAATTTAAAAAATAAGCAATCGAATGACCATATTGCAACAGTATGAAAAAATAGAAACATATGTACAAGGCCTAACTTTTGTACTTGTATATTTACGTTTGTTTTGTAGTTTGGCTATCATACTGGTATATGTGACCGCTTATATTTTGATGCTTCTCGGTTAAAAATTAGCATGACTGAAACTCACTAAATTACAAGACCACAGCTTTGCTCCACATTATACCTTACTCCCTCATATATGCAAATGCTAGGCCTTGTACATATGTTTCTATTTTTTCATATACTGTTGCAATATGGTCATTTGATTGCTTATTTTCTAAATTCAAGTACTCAATAGAATTATGAATCTGACTATATGTACATGTAATCACTGCCCCCAGGATTCTGTGTTTGCCGAGCGCAGATGAAATTTGCGTTTGCTCATGAAATTGCAGAATTAACTATTTTGGTCAATCTCCGAGGAATTATCAGCGTGGAATTATCAAAGTGTCATCTTAGGTGGAAGCTACATGTAAGTCAGCAGCCCTAAAATGAGGGAAGTTTTAGTGAAAACAATGAATTAGATTGATCTGCATTTTCTTCCCGATTTTCTTAGAGTTGCCTTCATTTGAAGAGTCAATCTTCTTTTTGAAGAGCACTTTGAAATACAAGTTGCGCCACCATCCATGAGTTTCCAATCCCTTTGTGTTCGTTCCAGGACCGATGAAGATGGAGCAATATGAAAGTACAGCTATATATCTCATTCAAGCCTGTGTAGAAATATATAGAAATGACCTTGGAAGAAGGTTATATCCAGAGCACAAACAAATAATAATGGCAGGCCATCATTTTGTCAAAAAAATAAAAACAATGGGCGATAATAGGTATGGCAAACAACAATGGTTGGATTTAGTATGCATGAATTATATTTGACTGAATTCAGCTTACACATACATTAAATGGTGTCAATACTTACACTCAAAAACCTGTTGATTCAAAAAGAATTGCTCACATTCAATAAAATAGCAATTAAAAGAGAAATATATTTTTCATTTCCTGCTTTCAAAGTATTGCATGCTGGGATTGTTCAAGGTCAAAATGGCAGCTGTAAAATTTGCACAATCTCTCAAAGAACTCCGTATTCATCTGTGTCAGAGGTCTGCAACGAGCCAAGGAGTAAGGTGTGTATCACGCGAAATATAGTTCGCACTATCTTAAAGTTTTAGAGCGATCACAATTGTGAATGACCAGACATTTCGAATTTTGTATAAAAAAAATTACAGTTGTTTTTTATTGCTTGTCAATGAGCCAAGGGATTGGTTTCCAGTGTGCCAAATCGATATTCTGCCATATCTCCAAATTATCTCCAATAAATTTCAAAACATACAAAGGTGATCCACCAAGATATTACCTCTGTAAAAAGTTATCCGACTTTTTTGAAAAAAAACTTTCAAAAAGCAACAGTCGCATGAATTCACATTGTTGTAGATCTACTTACAAAATGATCCACCGCCTAACTTATACACCATCGAACTTGGTATTATTGTACACATAACTTACCATATTTTATGGCCACTGATACCATGGTCATGGCAGGATCCTTGCGAAACTTAAAAACACTTAATAACATGGTGATGGTTGTGCCAGCCATAAGTCTTGCAACATAGGGTCTCGCTTGAGTGGTGATACATTGTTACCCAAGTGGAATATTTCCTGTATCACATAAGCTGAAACGTGTGATGACCATTTTATCACATGTCTAGGGATTTTGAAGCATTTTGATTTGGTCAGTTATAATTCTGTTCAGTTACCCTGGACTCCTGGTAACTATTATAATTTTTGATTTCGCTTTGAAACAATATGACGTCATACCGTTGTATTCGTACTTGTTTGTGAAATAGTATGACATCATATTGTTTTCCTTAGCTAGAAGTGATATAATCAGTGACGTCACATTGTTGCTATTGACTCCGTAGTGATACAGTCCACCGTATCACATAAATATTAGTCACGTGTCATGTGATATGGAATATACATCATCACAATTGACCCACCAAAATGCTTAGACACTCCTAATCTAATGTGATGTACGTACGGTACAAATATATATGGTACCAAAATTACTCGGCAGTTTGGTGAACTTTCACAATTTGGTGCATCCGCAAAATTGAAATGGCCGACAAATTAAATACGTAGAAGCACAGTAGTTGCTTTTATCACATGTTTAATGACACCAAGTTTTGCTGTTTTTCAGGGATTTTGTTGAGAAGTACTATGTTGGAGTTAAGCAGGCCAATCCCAATTCTCCAATTCTGATCAGGGAGTGCAGCAATATCCAACCTAAGATATATGCAAGATATGGTACTTCATTTTATTTAAATTGATTATTAGATAAGGTTTTTTATAACATTTGAGGCAGGCTTAAAGCACTAGTTTATATCAAAACTGGAATACCCTGATCATCCAAAGTAGATAAGTACAAGGTCACCAACAAGGGGCACTTAGCAAAAGTAAATCACCCTATTCAATATTTATAGGCCCCTTTATGTTCAAGAAAAATTTGAAATATTGAACGCTCCAAATCATGCAAGTTTAAAAACATAATAGAGATCTGTTTTCTGCGTTACGCTTACAAACATGACAGAACTCTATCTTTTAATCATTTTTAAAATATGAGGGTCTTTAACCAAACTGTGCTTGTGAGGTTCTTTCATCCATGGGCTATCTCGACAGTGAGGTTGCTTTGACCAGTTAGCCAGATATTGTTTATATTTTACATGTATATGCCCTACGGGGTATGTGAGTTCAAGTTCTGCATGAAAGCCAATTTTGAAAATCTTCGCTGGTTTCAAAATGCAATAGAATATTGACATAAAAAATCTCGTAATGCAGATCTATCTTAACGAACAATATATAAATATTCTGATCATGCACTCTACCTTAATCATAATGAACGATTTTGTATTTCCAGAGCTTGGACGTGAGATGAGCATGCCTCTCGGTGGACTATCAGGTGAACAAGTTTTAGAGACAATCAAAACACTCTCCAGCAAGCAGACCTGAACATGTAGAACATAGGCGATTATTAATATTAGGATTATTTGTAAACACTCTCCAGCAAGCAGACCTGAACACATGGAACATAGGCGATTATTAATATTAGGATTATTTGTAATTTGATACCATAGCAACATGGTGTTTATTGTTTATGAGTGGATACTGTATTATGATTAATGTTTATAATAGGAACTTGGATTTGTTGCCAAATTATACGACATATACTTCATAAAGGGTGAAGTGGACTAGTATAACAACTTTGAATTAAATTTGAATTGATCTGGTTGCTTTTTCGAAAGACATAATATAAAAGGAAATTCACATTTAGCCTTGGAAATTGTTTTATTTATTGTAACATTATATACTATAGCTATAGGTTTAAATAAAAATGTAAATAATTATAATAAATACTGTAGTTCTTTTTCTCTTCATTGTATCAATACATTTTGATTTGTTTGTTAATGAGTTTTAGGTTTAAGAACATAGGAGGCAGGGACATAGGAAGAATCATATAACTTCCTTTTGGGTTAAAAAAGATCTGAATTGATATCTTCTGTTGAGTTTTCGGAGGCAGCTTCCTTACCCACATTATGCCTGGCTACACCTATAAAAGATAATATTAACATAACATTTAAGCCTGGTCCTAGTTTCTAGATTTGTATGAAGAACTGCATTCTCCAAACACAGTTCTCCAGAACTCGTACCTCCTTTCAGAAGAAGGAAGGAACATAATGGATGATGTCTGGAGCACTGCGTTGGGAGAGAGGAAGAACTGTTAGATAGTCACTAAGCTGTAGGCACCTCAGACTAAACTTTTACAACAATGTTATGCATAGGCCTGGGAACATGTATAAAAAATTGAGTCAAATACACAAGTAAAGAGACTTGGTGTGTTCGACTCAATTTTTTATGCATGTTCCTGGGCCTATGATGTTATGTCTCGTATATTTTATTTATAAGCTCTTCATATTATCTTTTTCCTCAGTCAGCAACTCAAGTGGCTTTCAAATTTTCTGATTTTTACCTCAAGATGGGTAACAGATTAGATTAGACTAGGGTTTCTCATAATGAAGTCAATAGACTAGATGCAAGAATAAATAATTTTGAATTTCATTATTAGAAATTCAAAATTCGGTCAAAGTGATATCATATTTGAAATCTACATGTAATCTTACATCCAGTGTTTTTCAACTTTGAAAATTATATTTTCTATGAAAATGTGATTTCTAGGTTGGGGAGATTCCCCATAGATCCCATGTTATAAATTCACAAAAAAGTGAAATATCATTTTTTGTATTGGGCAGATACTATTTTCTTCAATGGAAATATTTTAATTTTTAAAATTATCAGATATAAAGGGTAATATGAAAATTGAACCACATCACCCAAAAGTAAAAACAAAAATACTCCATCATATATCAGTGACCTCTTTAATACTTTTATAGAGATAAACACTAGAATGCAGAGGTTCAGATTTCAATATACTAGTACCAGTCACATTGCAAAGGAAATCACCTGTATATATGATGAATATATGAAATTTGAGTTAAAATCCAAATTACCAAGTATACACCCCATGCAGACAGATCGCCTGAAATTACATTCGTATGATGTGAGATTCGACATTCACCGGGAAAGTAGAAACATTTTGTCACCCATGATGCAAATTAATTTTATACTGCTTAATAAATTATGAATGACAGTCATATTAAGTCCTATAAGTATGAGAATAGCACGCCGTCTTGATATTTCAAGGTAACTCGTTCGAAAAATGATGACGGTGATCGAACTTACGATGTAAAGATAAAACTGCAACAAAATATTTGTAGATTTCTTTGAAAAACTAAGAAATATACATTTCATATCGAATTTTTCAAAACAGAAAAAACATGTATAAATAGTTCGGCATGTAGGTCCAATCCCCCCTGGTAACATTAACATTGGTCTCGTATAAGTCATATGAGTACTTCAATGTAATATTAATAAAGTAACATCATACTGATGTCCGATCATAAGTTCGAATGATAGTTGTATTTCAAATATTAATTGTATGACATGTATGAGACCAATGTTAATGCTACCAGGGGGAAACTGACCTACAGGCCTTACTTTTTATACATGTTTTTCTGTTTTGAAAAATTCGATATGTGATACGTCGACCGCAGATCAATTAAAGGGCCAGTAAGGGCCGTTAAGAAAGGGGACCATAATCCCTGGGGGACCATCACTTCTTTCACACCGGGCTTACGTTGCATGACTAGCGTCTGTCGTAGAGTTTTTGGTGGGTTATGTACCTTTGGAAACAGTTTTTTATGTCAGGTTTGCTGTCATACATGTTTCTTTGCCATGAACACAACGCAATAGATATATTGTTTGATGTAAGTTCACTGATACCACAGCAACCTATAATACAAAAAATTAAGTTACTATTGGTCAATGTATCACCACCATGATGTAAATGAAATAAAACATTAACGTTTATCAACAGAAATTCAAAATTCGCCATTTGGCTGCCGTAGGAAATGTGACTGCAAAAGTATCCGACCGCAGAAATTCTACGACGAGCGTAGAAATGTTACTAACCGCAGAAATGACAGACCGCACGGTCGCCTTAGGAAATGTGACTGGGGTGTAAATGACATCACGATGAGTTCATCCAGGGTGCGTGTAATTTTTTTATTTGCTAAAACATTGGAGTGGCACATTAGATATGACATTTATTATTGAAATATATCCTTTGTTCAATCAGCGTTAAAAAAGTAAAGTTTTTGCACGGTATAATGGTATATTTTAAGATTAAAAAATCTCAACTTTCATTTGAAAAATGGCGGGAAATTTAAATATTTGGGAAATGTAAAGCTGATACTTTTTGTCCCCAAATTTTATTTCCAAAATCTTTAAAGTAACTTTTGAAGTCATGAAAAATAGTAACTGAACATATTTTCAAACTTAACATGAGGCCTTATAACCCAAGGAAAATTTATTCCACTAATTACTGTTTCATGTCAATGACACGATTGTCGTATTTACTTTAGTGACAGAGCAAAAGTTATCAACTTGCCGTAAAATACGATGTTGTAAATATATATAAAAATAAAACTCTGGCCTGAAAAACGAGCTATATTTGCGAATGCAACTTTCGGTTGTCGGCTACAAGATGATATCGAAAAGCTCAGATCATTGCTGCATTCGTCCTTTAAGTCTTCGTCTTCCAATGGTTGCTGGGACAACTGAAACTTTGTGATCAAGATGCATAAAAAGCATCTCTTGGAGATGTGCGTTCTTGAGAGAGAGAGAGAGAGAGAGAGAGAGAGAGAGAGAGAGAGAGAGAGAGAGAGAGAGAGAGAGAGAGAGAGAGAGAGAGAGAGAGAGAGAGAGAGAGAGAGAGAGAGAGAGAGAGAGAGAGAGAGAGAGAGAGAGAGAGAGAGAGAGAGAGAGAGAGAGAGAGAGAGAGAGAGAGAGAGAGAGAGAGAGAGAGAGAGAGAGAGAGAGAGAGAGAGAGAGAGAGAGAGAGAGAGAGAGAGAGAGAGAGAGAGAGAGAGAGAGAGAGAGAGAGAGAGAGAGAGAGAGAGAGAGAGAGAGAGAGAGAGAGAGAGAGAGAGAGAGAGAGAGAGAGAGAGAGAGAGAGAGAGAGAGAGAGAGAGAGAGAGAGAGAGAGAGAGAGAGAGAGAGAGAGAGAGAGAGAGAGAGAGAGAGAGAGAGAGAGAGAGAGAGAGAGAGAGAGAGAGAGAGAGAGAGAGAGAGAGAGAGAGAGAGAGAGAGAGAGAGAGAGAGAGAGAGGGAGAGAGAGAGAGAGAAAGGGAGAGAGAGAGAGAGAGAGAGAGAGAGAGAGAGAGTAGATCAAAATGGCATAACGTATTTGTTTTTTTCCACAGATATATTTTAGATCCTAGCTGCAACCCTGGATAGTGGATATATACATATAATAGAAATGTTTTTGTTTTTTACTGTACCACGATCAAGCTCAATGTTACTCAACGCCCCTCAGCGCAGAGTCAATGTCATATTAAAGGTCATGTCATAGTCTCTGCAAAGGTGGTATTTGTATTTTTATGTCAGTTGACATTCAGAAGGATTTTGTAGGGCCTCAATTAGTGAGCGTTTTTGGGCATAACTTGACTATTTGGCTTTTAAGGCCAAATATCAAGAAATCTGCCTCAAATTTTCAAATTGAGTTGATTGGATCCGCCAGTGCACGTGTAGTTGATAATCCATAGAACAAGCGTACCTTCACTACGGCAAGGCACAGGAAGTACAGATTGCACTGAACGAAAGGCTCGGAGATTGGAGATATTGGAGATACAGCGTTTAAAGTCAATTAATTATCGCTAATACACTAGTTATAAAAAGGAATTTTTGGTTGATTTTAAAAAAGTATTCAAAAAATTAATACAAAATCCCCCAAAAATAGATAAAAATCAAGATAAACCTTTTATTTCATTAACAAGATACCTTTTTAATATCAACCAAAATTTCCTTTGTACAATTACAATGTTGAGAGACCTAAACATGTTGTGTTTATGTCGTTTTGTTCCAATGAGTTTCATTTCACTCTGGAAACATGATACCAAGAACAAAACAAGCCGCGGTTTGATGTGTTTTCTAAAACAATATTGATGAAAATATATAAGCCTATATATTTTTCAAATTATATTATTACCATTCAAAAGATGACCATTAAATTGACGATGTGTTAAATTTTTAGATTTTTTTATGACTAGTTTAAGAGAAACGTGTGTTCAAAAGTTCTCCATATCGATACCACTCCTTTTAGAGTATGATACGTGCCGTTTTCAGTTTACCCGCTAGTACTATTTCTTAAACCATAGTTGACCTAAACAGTCTAGTTAGATTTACAACAAATGACGGATTCTCGCCTGGTGCCATGGTGCCAAAATACAATAGCACTCCTTTAGATGCCAACCACCCAGCCAACCAATAACCCAAGCAACCAACCAACTGATCATGATCTCTCACTCAATATACCAGTCATCCAATCAAGCGACCAACCAACTAATCTACCAAGAAACCAACCAAGCAGTAAACCAACCAACTAACCAACCTATCAAAGGAGGAACAAACCAATCAATCAACCAGGCAACCAGTCAAGTAACTAACCAAAAGTATCAGCCACCCAAGCAACAAACCAACCGATTTATCAAACATGAAACCAATCGGCAAATAAACCAAGCAACACGCCAAGAGAACCAAAGCAACAAATCACCTAACCAAATAACGAGCGTACCAATCAACAAAGTAGCCAATCATACAACTAAGCCAGTTACTGGCCGACAACTCATCAATCAACCAAACAACTTAAAAGCAATCAACCGACCAACAAACCAACCACCTAACTGATCAATCAATTACCAACAA